TGTGTGAGTGGGCAGGGAACAGGGGGGAGAGGGTAATATTTGATATGTGGGGGCAGGGACTTTTATGGTAATATTGTTAAAGTTGTTAATATTTCTTTTTGTAACTTTATTTTGCATAAAACATCTAACAGTGTGATTTATAAGATTATTTAAGAGGGTGTGTTTAGGGGCAGAGTTAAGGGCAGGGTAGGGGTTAGGTGGGCAACTGGTGGCGAGTAACTCTTAAAGCAGGGCTAGTAGCTCAGGACTTTAAATTTTGACCCCTGTAGTATCTTACCTGTAACATATTTACTGTGCATTTGTTTTAGACTTCTGAACGTAAATTTACTTTTCATTTGAGGTTTTCAGCTTTTATTTGGCTGTAACTGTTTAGCCCTGTTAACTTTCCAACATGTTAAAGCATGGTATGCATGTAAGGTAGACAGATGGATCCCTCTTATGCATGTGAATAAAATAGTCACTGGAATCACCCTGACCTGACTAACTATTAGTCAAGCACTGTGCAGCTCACAGAAATCTAAGACTTGCAATTTGTCCTATTTTGTACACGTAAATCAAATGCATATACACAGATCGAATATGGCTGCCCCCATACACACACACAAACAAGGATTTAAAACATTAAAAGAATCACTGTCACTTTGTCACTGCCTATTCAAAATGTATTGCTATGTTCTTATTGTCAGTTCCAATAAAAACCTTTTTCTGAATGTGGAGTGCTAGACTATCTGAAAGTGGTAGAACTGAATGGAGGCTATACTTGCCTCTGTTGCTTGAGCGTAATTTTCTGACGTCTTCTGGGCCTTTTAAATTACAAGTCAATATACTACAACTTGTCAGATTGGGGCATACAGAGGTACACAAACAAACTATGTGGACAAAATCTACATTCAGCACATCTTTTGTGTACGGCAGACTAGTGTACACTGTGCGAATAGAATGAATATTAAAGTATATGTTCATACATACAGTAGAAAAGCTGTCCGCACACCCGATTCCGCTGGGTTTCCCTCAATCATGGACTTCGTCATCTCTAGGACAAAGCCTGTAATTTGGTGAAACGTGTCAGTGATGGTGGACCTTGGGCGGTGCACCAGTGATGTAGGACAAGCTTTAATAAACTATCCCAGCAGAATCCGGTGTGTGCTCCCAGCGGCAAGCACCTGGCTCATTCTTTTCCTGTTAACTGCCTTGGTACCAGCATTTTGCACCCCCATTCCATTACCAACACTTTTTTTCGTTTTCAGTAGGGATGCACCGAAATATTGGCAGCTGAAACAAATCAGCTAAAAATACCACTTTTGACAAAATTTGCGAAATTGCCATCCTTCGGAAGAAAATGTGGTGCATCTCTAGTTTCTCTCCTCCCTGCTGAGTGCTGCTCTGTGTCCCCTCTGACACAGGAGGAAAGAAACTCTCAGAGGAGGCCGAGCAGTGCAGGGGAGGATCAGTGATCGCTGAGTTTTTGTAAATAATTGGACATCGTATGAGTTACTATATCCTCAATTATGAATGAATGGGAAGTGATCTACATCACCTCCTGTTCATTCATGATCGTGTACATGGTAACTTCTACTATATCCACAAGTTATGAATGAACAGGAGCTCAGTATAGCGAATCTCTGTTCATTTATAAAAGCGGCTGCAGAAAAAGAGATAGTGGACTATGTGTCCTAAATCTTCTATTCTATTTTAAAAAGGGAATTATCAGGGATCTCGAGTCCCCTGATATTTCCCCGAAGTCCCCAGCAGTAAAGTTAAAAAATAGAAACATTTAATAAAAATAAATGTAAAAAAGTTTATTAACCACTTCAAGACCAGGTGTTTAGACCCCCTTCCTGGCCAGGCCATTTGTCAGTGTTCAGCGCTGCGGTACTTTGACTGACATTTATTCCGTCATGCAACGCTGTACTGAAATGAATTTTATACCATTTTTTGGGGACAGATAGAGCTTTATTTTGGTGGTATTTAAACACCACTGGGGGTTTTATTTTTTACTATTTTACATTATGTTAGGAAACATTTATTATTAACCAGTTTTTTTGGTAAAATATAAAAGATCGGGTCACGTCGGGTAAATACACACCAAACATGTCACGCTTTAAAATTGTGCGCACCCGCGAAATCGCAGAAAACTACCATACCCAAAATTGCCATAGGCGATGCTTTAAAAGCTTTTACTGCTCATCAGTTTAGGGTTATCAGTGATTGATGGCCCTAGACTTATTGCTCTCACTCCGACGTTGCGGCGATATGGAACATGTGCGGCGTAATGGGCGCAATTGTCTTTTTTGCACGTATGCGCCCCCGACGCATGTTTGCATGCGTGTATGTATGGGTGGGGACTTTAAAAAAACATTTTGTCTTTTTTATGTGTAACTTAAATTTTTTTTTTTTTTGG